CCCCCCCCCCCCCCCCCCCACCCCGGGAACAAGGACATTCATATCATGCATATCATGCATATCAACAACAGCTGCGCGTCACAAAACAACACAATCAAGAAACTACAGTAGCGTCTAGTACACCGAGCCCGCAAGAGTCGAACCAGAAGATAACGTCCGGAAAAATCTCAGATACTTCCACGAACAAGCCATCGTAGGGTTTTATGCAAACATGTTGGATAAAGGATGCACTCAAGGGAAGAGCAAGTGGGGTTAGGGTTAGGGAATAGGGTCTGCGTCCCCCCTCCCAGTCATATTTCCTCGTTAACTTATCAATCGCGCCAAGGTGGTCCGAACAAGCAGACCATGGAGCAGAGATCTAGAACCACGAGGCGAGGTGACCGTCAGGGACAAACAGCTGTTTAGCTCGGTGCTTTCCAGCAAACTTCTCGGGTGCGTCGGCAGCCCATGGCTACCTTTGCCGCCGCGTTGAAGCCGTCGTAGTTGGCCATGTAGACCTCGCCCGCCCCTCCCGAGCCGATAACGAGGTCCCCGTCTATCTCGATCGCCCCTTGGGGTATCTCTTCCTCCTCGATGAGTCGTTCTAGACGCTGTTGCCTTCTGAGGCGCACGTCCTAGTGGTTGGTTGGTTGTTTTTCCCCGGCAGCACGGGGAGGGAAGGAGGGAAGGAGGGACGGAGGGAGGGAGGGAGGGAGAGAAAGTGAGGGAGACAGACAGACCACAGACAAGCACGGACAGACGGGTGGTTTTCGACGACAAGAGAAGGCAGCAACACTTTCCGGTGTTACAGCAGTACATCTTGACAATCAACGACGATGCCAGAAGGCGAGAGACATTGACAGGGACAGCAGCAACGGAGAGGCAGAGCGGTCGGTGTAGGCAGCGAAAAACGCATTAACACCCTTTTTCTAGCCGGCGTGCCTTGTGCGCCGCCCTCTTACCTTGACATGATTCGCCAGCTCCAGCTGGGCCTTGACTTCGTGCATCCCGGACAAGGACCTCGCGGTGACGTACGCCTGCAAGACAGACAAAAAAAAGCACAAACGTACGCAACAAACAGGTCGGGCGGGGGGTTACGGCACACGGCAGCGCCCCCCTCCCATCGGTCAAGGTAGAACGACCGCCTGACCAACACGGCCACGATCATCGGCAAGAGCAAAAGCGATATAATATTGCCAAGGCGGGCTTGTCTGCTCTCGAGGCGACCAGTGACGGATGGCGGCCGAAAAAAAGTGGACCAATCACCGCACACAAGCAGCGGGCCAATCAGAACGCGCCTCAGCCATATATACCAAAATTCAAATAAGGGGAGACACAACCTACGTACGACGGTGCCTTAAGCCATGCATGAGAGGACCCGCTGAGCGATTGCGCAAAAAACATTGTCCGCCAAAAAAGGGGGGCACCAGAAACGAAAGTTCAAGGCCTCACGTTAAAGTACTCCAGCATTCTCCGGACCGAAGCCTCCGCCTCCTCCACCCGCGCGCGGTACATGCTTGCGGACCACATCCTCCGCAGCTTGGTCTTCCGCTGGTTCGAACGAATGCATTTGGTTTTCGCGCAAGGCGGGGGGAGCGATTGGGAGGACGGCGTAAGCTATATGCAAAGGAATAGACTGCTAAAGTGTCGGCCTGACCCATGAAGCCTAAAAAATCCCAAAGTTTAGGCGATTGGCCGCAAGAACAGGTGCTCAGTCAGGAAGCCTACACTAAAACCTACATAGCCACACAAAACCTAAAATATTCACACGTAAACCTGTGTAGTCTCACTAAAAGCTATATAGTCGCCGTGGTGTAGTACCGCATCGGAGACAAAAACAAGAAGCGAGTCTCGGCCGAAAGAAGAGGTTCTTAGGTGGTGGCGCGTTTGTACTGGAGACCTCGACACGCGACAGACGCACTCGCGCGTTCGCCTACCTTGTAGGCCTCGATGATGTCGATGACGGCGTCTACCTGCTGCTGAACGCCTTCCAGCAGCCTGCGGCCCGTTTCGCGGTCGGTGTCCGTGGCTGAATGCTGCACACCGTGTACCGTCACCGTCACCAAACAAGGCAGCCGGGAGAGTTCAAAAAACAAAATCCGGCCTGGTGCAATCGTTTAGAGAGACCATGACTTCTCAGTGACAACAACAACAACAACAACAACAACAATAGCAGTAGCAGCAACAAGGAGCATTCAGCAATCGGCACACGGCACAAGAGCGCAACTTGGCTGGGTCAAGTCTCCGTCAATGGGGCCCCTACTGCTACTGCTGCTGCTGCTGCTGCTGCTGCTGTCGTTTTCTCTCTTGGTCTGTCCACAAGTGTGTGTTCCTTTGGTGGGACCCTCAACGTCCGTGCTATTCCAATTGTCAAGGTTGCCCTACATACCCGTCATCACACGCTAGCGTAGGTACGATGGGAGCTTGAAAAAAAAACGTGGCTACGTTTGGGAAGTGGCCTGTGACCACGAAGGCGTCCGGGTCAGTTGGACAGGGACACGAGCGGTTTTTAATGTCGAGACAACCACCACCACCACCACCACCATCGACAACACATACCTCAGCAAGTCCCTTGGCGCTTTTGAGAACCTCAACGAGGTTGGAGCACAGCTTGAGGCTCGTGTCGAATGTCGCCGTGTTCCCATCGTTGTCCGCCTTCAGCGTCACAAGTGTCTCCACCAGCAGGGCAACCTGCTTTAAGAGTTGAACATCATATTGATATAAGTGCGGTAGAGACCATCGTCCAGAGAAGTGAAGGAGCAATCGTGCAAAATAACAAGGCCAAATCGTCACCAGCGGCGGGGTAGTTGTAGGAACGCCGGTAGGCGGCGTCGGCCTCACCTCCGGCACACCGGTGATCGAAGAGTTCTGCGCCGCACGGGAGACCCTCTTCAGGATCGACAAAAGCTTTTCGCCGGCGCTTATCCTTAGGCCCTTGTCGCGATCGACCGGGGACGCCCCACATTTCGGTGCCAACGCAGGGGGTGGTGTTGCTGCGGGGACCGGTCTCGAGGCGGGATCAGCCCAGTAATCAGGGGACGGCGGCCGCTTACGGTAGTCCTTGTTCAGAAAACGGTGGTCGTCCGCGGCGGGGGCGGGGCCGGTAACGGGTGAGCCGAGCTGGACGCCCGTGGGGGAGTCGGGCGGCGCGACGCCCGGAGGCAACGCCTCTTCGGGGTGGCGACGGGGAGAGCCGAGCTGAACCTCGAGCGCGCACTCCGTGGCCGACGTCACCCTCTTCGCCTCCGGGGGGGGATAGGTCTTAGGCGGTGCCAAGGCGCTGACGAAGATGGTGCTGACGCCGCTGTTCGAGGGGTTGTCGGCGCTTGGGGAGGAAAGAACATCGGTGACGGCGCTGGTGTTCTCCCATTCTAACGGCGCTGGTCCAGTAGCAGCAAGCTGCCAGTGAGGCTGCTGCGGCGGGGGGTTGGTCAGGTGGCGGCGGGGGCCGCCGTCGGAGTACTCTCTCAAGCTCGCGCTGTCGGTCCTCTGCGTCTCGCTCGACTGGCAGTCGTTACGAACGGAGGCTTTGTCTCGTTTCCCCAAGCCACCAGGACCCTCGCCGCCTGGTGCAACCTCGAACACGTCCGTGTAAGGGGTTCCCTCTTCTGTGCCTTCGGGGTCGTCGCTGCTGCCACCTTGCTCTTCTTTCTTCCGTCTGCGCCAGGACCAGCAGCCCTTGCACAACCAGCACACCGAGCACAGGACCACCAGCACCCCGACCACAGCACCGGCGACCATGGAGGGTTCGACATCATCGCCGCCGTCGTCGCCGTCCCCACCGCCGGGGGTCGAGAGCGCGCCGCCCGACGGCGGCCCCGAAGGAGACGTAGGCGACGACGAAGCGGCGGCGGGCGGCGGTCCGGGGGTCGTCGGAGAACGTGGCGGTGATAGGCTCGGGGATGCTGCGGCAGGATTTTGGAGGCGGAGCGTCGCGTGAACGAAAGCGATTTGTTTTGGGGAGTGGCGCAAACGCCACGCCGCGGTCGACAGTAGTGTTGTGGCAGCAAAGCCGTTGTTGCTGTGCGTGACCCTTATTCTCCGGGTAGTGTATGACCGGATTTATTACTGCGGTGGGGGCATCATGCAATCATGTGTTACCCTGGTTCGCTTGATCTGAGAGCATCTTGAACTTGGCGCTCATGTAGCCCAGTGAAAGCACTCCCACCGGGTGCGGAATAGTGCGGGGTGTGCTATAGCTAACGTGGGAATGGTATCTCGCTGTCGCATGCATGCGAATACGTTGCTATTGTCGGCGATCTACACCTTGACTTGATCATGCCAGTGTCAAGAAAACCAGAGCTTTGGCCGAACGCAACCGGGCGGCGACCTGTTTCCAACCGGACAGTTGGAGCACAAATCTCTCATCCCTGGGCCAAACGAGCGCTGCTACTACACTCGCACACGGGCGGAGAGAAAAAACGAACATCAAACCCTCCTCTAGGCGTGGTTGGAGTCAGAGGGCAAACGTAACATGAGGCCGCCAACAAGGCGGGGTATTGGAGAAACGGAGAGCAAAACAAGCATCAAGGCCAAGAGCTCCTCGTGTTCAGCACACAAAAAGAAGTAAGCGCCGCACTTCGAGAACAGAGCTTGAGGAACAATGAGAAGGTGAGGAGAGGGGGCAAGAACAACGTACCGCGATGGTATCATTCCTGCTAATTTATGAGATACAGAGGGGGCAATCGTATCCATATCCCTATCCCTGTCCTTGTCCCCCAAGCCATCCCGTGCACCCTATGCACTAAATCCAAGCCTAACAATACCCTCGCCAACGCCACTGACCAACATGTGTGTTTGTGCGGACAGAACAAGAACGACCAACTCAACATCGCTTTTACCTGTGGTCGGCGTCGGAGTAGCGATCGTCGGGGCAGGTGTCGGGACCGGTGTCGCGGGTACTGGGGATGGGTATGGGGGTGCCGTGGAATCGTCCGCTGCATGAAAAAAAAAACGGCCGGTTTCAGCAAGCGCGTGCGTCGCGACTTAGAAAGACAAACGGGTCGTAAGGACACAATGACGGACTCAAAATAAGACCAGTTTCCAGCCAGTTTCCTTCTGCTCATTGTGGAGACTTCAGCACACACGTACTTCCCCGTTCGATTGCTGTGTTTACGTCTAGAACGGGGAGTCTTCTGTGTCAGGTATATTTTCAAGAAAGGGCGGGAACGGCTGCGACGGTGCCCACAAGAGGCGTGGTCATCAATACCAGACGATCGACTTTAGAAAAAAAAAAAAAGCCGACCCGATATCAGTGCAAGGGAGGCGATGCCGGCAGCAAAGTTTTCAAAACAGAAGCGGTCGCCAAAGGCAACCAGCACTCGCATATAGCTAACAGAGGCATTAGCGGCCCGCAAACAACCAGCAGCTAACCTTCTTCGCGCCGAACACCGACCAGCGCCATTGCGTCTTAAATGTATGACCCCAAAACTTTCGACGACGAACCGAAAAGTTTCGCGGGCAGATCAATGCTCGCAGAAAAGGCGTGGTGCGATCCACGGAGTGCTCGACGTCCCGCCCAAACCCTGGCCGCTGAGAAACCTCACCTCTTTGCTCGTAGCCGTCAACGAAGTTCCCATCCAATAGGAGAGCCGAAACCTGTTCCAGGCCTTCGGGGACTTCCCCTGTAAAAGTTGTTTTTGGAAGGGGTGCGCGCGAGGGGTGATTGTGTTTGTTTCCGGCTGGCATCGCCGATCTCTCAGGTGTGCTTGTAGGCTTCAACAAACAGACTCGCATACGCCCAGCATCAGGCATCGTCATGTGGGGGCAGAGACGAAAATGCCCTCAACACTGCTGAACAAGACATGGGAAACATTGTCTCCAGCGGGGAGTCTCTCTGTGACTGCATATACTTCGGAGGACAGACTGGGCTCGAGCCCATCAAGAAACGGTGCCCAGGCAAACGAATTCAGTAATGCCCCGCCACTCGGTGCATTTCTCAAAAGCAGGAGCGCGTTGCTGCCGCTTCACAACCGCCGAAGGAGGTTCGGTGCTGACGAAAATGGTACTGCTCTGGCGGCACGCCCTGTCGGGAACCCAACGGCCACGCACAAAATAAAACCGAAGAGAAGCACAGTGACAACAACAACAAGAAGAACAAAACAGAAGAGAACTAGAACAACAACAACAACAAAGATAACAATAACAATAACAATAACAACAACAAAGATAACAATAACAATAACAACAACAACAAAGATAACAATAACAATAACAATAACAATAACAATAACAACAACAATCACAATAACAATAACCAAAGCCACCACCAACCTGTCAAGTAGTTGTTCCTGAGATCCACCGCTTGAAGCTCCCCGCCCTCGGCAAGCGTCCCTAGCTCAGCTGGGATGTCCCCTGAGCAAACAAGCATCAACGCATCTGATCAGCCGCACATTGCAAAGCAGGAGAGGGGGGGGCGACAATTCCTACGATGGTGCGCTGGCCCGGTCCGACGCAGAGAAAGCACAGAACACGCCGAAAATGAACAACTATCCGTAGGTAACACGCCAGATACCGCACCCCGCACAAACATTTTTTTCACAGCTCGGTTTCTGCGCAGCTTGGCAGCACCGAAAACGGCGGCATTGAAGCCGTCTCGTCGAGAGCTTCCAGAAAACGTGTTATCGTCCTGGTCGTCGTGGAGTAATCGAGCTTCGAAAATCGGTCCACGGGGTGTGTTATCTTGTGTCGTGTCACGTCACGTACGGTGTATCTTCTCCTAAAGGTGCGTTTTGACAAACCTGCCCTCTTCCTTGGCATTCTTCCGAAGGTCTCCCGGAGATCAAAAGAAGATCGAATGCACAGCAGTGGAACAAACCACATTTCGCCACATCGAAAAATCCGTTTCCGCGTTTCAAAGACGCAACCGGTTCCGTTGAGATGTGGGCTACCGCTAGCCGAAAAAAATGGAGATTTCCTGACCTGTCAGACCGTTGTCTCCCATGTACAGGGCCTTCAACGATACCAAGCCGCCAAATTCCGCGGGGATCGGTCCTGTGCGTGCGCGCGCGCGACAAACATATACAGCAGTAGGGTCAAAATCCTCGGAAGAAGACGTCGAGCGACAGCATTGAAGGTTGGAAACGTTCGACCACAGAACGAGAGAAAGGGAGAGAGCGAGAGAGAGAACGACAGAGACAGACAGAGGACAGAGAGAGAGAAATGGACAGACAGGACGGGTAGAATGGAAAATGCCGACTTGCTTGGAGTTCGCACACGCTAGTTCCTTTTCAGGGGGCACTCTGAAAGCCCGAAAAGTGGTTAATAACGGTACTACGTGGCGTGTCGGTCTGCGCGCTACCAAGAAAGACACCATAGGGCTTCACTGTTCACTGCAACCATAGGGCTTCACTGCTCACTGGAACACCCAAGAACACACGCATTGATTTCAACAAGACAGAACGCGCCACCACTTCAGCAGGGAAGAACTTGAGCCTAAAAATCCCCAAAACTTCAGAAATTGGCCGGAAGAACAGTACTCAGTCTAGAAGCCTACACTAAAACCTATATAGTCACACTAAAACCTATTAGTCGCCGTGGCGGTAGTACCCCATCCGAGGCAAAACAAGAAGCAAGCCTCAGCCAATAATAAGAGGTTCTTGAGTGGTGGCGCGATCTGTACCGGGATAGAGGCAAAACGCAGACCCTATCCCTAACCCAACCTCCCCGATTGCATTCATTATCCAACATGTTTACTTGATAGGAAACCCCAGCGCGAAGGCTACTGACCTATCAACCCTGTGTTGCCGGAGAGGTCCAGCTGTGTCAGCGACGCCAGGTTGCCCAGTTCGGGAGGAATCATGTCTGCGGAAAAGGGGATGACCAGGGCACCGGGATTAGAAGGAGAGGGAGAGGTTGTGTGTAGAGGGTCGCGGCTAGGGTGGAGGTAAGGGGGTCCATAAAACTTCGTGCGAACAGGCATGTAGATGAAGAGGCGTTTCTCTCCGAGAAATCTGTCGCATCGGTGACGGTAATCAACAACTACAGCTGTGGCAGAAACAGCATCATCATCAGCAGCAGCAGCAACTTCAACGCCATCAGCAACAGCACATTGAGCAACAGCAACAGCAACAGCAACAGCCCTCACCATCACTCGTCAAGAACAACGACGTAGTCACCACCTCCAACACCAACACCGGCCAAGAGACAACGAGGGAACTGCTACTGTGAAAATGAAGCGAATAGTTCTACTCGGCAGGAAAAAAACAAAAAACATGCGTCACCTTCCAAGGCGTTGTCCTGTAGATACAGTATTCCCAGTTGTGCCATACCCCCTAGCTCCGATGGGATCTTTCCTGCAACAAGAAGCCAGCAACGGAGCAACAGGAAGCAACAACAAAATAGAAGGTTCGGGTACATTCTGTGAAAAATGAACCACACAACGGCAGATAAACAAGACTTGTCGGGCCATGACACGGAAGACGATCAAATCCTGGGTGCCTTACGTTACAACCACGCTTGTGCAAAATATCGCAAACGCTTGTGCCAAAGATTGCAAAACGAACTCTCAAGTAAAACATCAATACGGAAAAAAAACATCCCTGACACCAGACAATAAAACACGGCAGAACACGAGACAATCGAAGCCTAAGGCATGAAAGCGTCATTGTACTGTGCCTGTGAGGGCGTTGCCCTGGAGGTCCAGGCGAACCAGGGACGGAGCGCTTCCGAGCTCAGGAGGAATTTCTCCTGGAGGAGGAAAAAAAGAAGGAAAAAAGGGGCGGAGCAACTTAAGAACGATTCTTGTCACAGCGGCAAACCATGTCAGGGTAGTCATGCAGGACTGAAAACTCGAGTAGCGACAATTTTCCAAGCAAAGGACGTACGTAACACCAGTCGCCGGGAAGGATGTACATCCTAAGCAGAAACCGTACGCAATATTGCACGACAGACCGATGTGTACTGAGAGAGCCAGGTCAATCTAGGGAGTGGAAAAGAGAACTATCATACTGACGGCATGAAATTCCTTCTCAAGACAAGCAACTAACCAACTGCGAGGGAAAGAAAATAAAATGCATATGGACACGACACGAGACAGACACAAGACAAGAGGAACCGCATTGAGGAGTAAGAACACAAAAATACGGAATTCAGAGCCGGCACAAACAAGGAACAGACAACACACACAACAGCACAAGGTCAATACATCCTTCGACAGCGCTGAGGGCGAACGAAGGAAGCAGGCCTGGTGCGCCATGTGTTTTAGGCTCGACCTGCAGTAGCACCTCGGTTCGCCCGTGTCGATAGATTTCGGTTTCGCTCAAAACGCGGCAGACCGTCGTCCTTGCAACGACGACAAAATAAATCAAGCCGTTATCTGCTCGGTTTACCTTCGAAGCCGTTGTCGCTCAGGTCCAAAAGGGTAAGGCTGACCAGGTTCTCGAGGCCTGCCGGAAGCTCGCCTGCGCAATTCAATCCGATGTCACACGTTGTGGGAAAATATAGGCGGACGCAAGGGGCTGAAGCTCCATGTACCTACAATACTCATTCATGATGTTTCTAGGAGGGTACTGTAGCGTGCATGTGAAGAGGAGGCCGTAAAGACACGACTCGCCAGGATGGGGAGCGCGAGACATGAATCGATCACGCCTTGCATGAAATCTCTTGAGAGCGGGGTGTCAAACCGCCTTGCCTGTTTGGATGCTGGTATATATTTTGCTGTCGTCGTTTCTCACAACCGGCAGGAGTGATTTCATTGGCCACCCAGGCACACACATTTTTTTTGGACTAAAGAGCGAATGTGAGAAACAACAACAACAACAACAGCAACAACAACAACACGCATGCGCGAAGAAACACCGACACAGCAACAGTGCCTAGGGTAACGGCAAAAAAACAAAACAAAAAAAAAGTGGCACCACTCTCCTGACTTGACAACAAGTGGAGTCGTAAGACATACCCGTGATGTCGTTGCCTCCGACAGAGAGCTTCTGCAGGCCCAACAGCTGGCCGTACTCCACGGCCGGAAACGCGTCACCTGCCAGAGAAAAACCACAAACACACGATTAACTTTCCACATGAGCGGGAACAACAATCTCTAAGCGTTCGACGCGTAGAAAGCTGCACAAACTCGTCACAACTGCAAGGACGAGCACGAATTAAACGTTGCTCTGTTGCCTGTGGCTACGGACGTGGATCATCTGCTGGCTGCAGTAACAGCAGATACTCCGAGGTCCTACAATAGCGACGGAAGCAGGTTGGCGTGAAGCCAGCAGCAGCACCCGCAACGAACTACTTCAACCCAATTCGATCGTGGTCAGCGCTCTGTCGTCACCAGAAGCTTCCACAAGAAACAAGCAAAACTTCAACATTTTTATTTCTACCGCACCTCTGCAAAGGAAAGAACACACATGCCATCCTTACGCACTCTTTTGACTCAACCCGATTCGATAGAGGGCAGCCAAGGCTATCGTAGGATGCGTAATATATCACCCCCCCTGAACCGAAGTTGAGAGCTCCAATACTCGGTAGGGAAAAAACAGCGACGGTGCCCGACACGGTGGCGTCGGAACCTTTTCGTCGGGAGCTTCTCCGAAAAAGTATCGTGTGATTCCGGCATTTCCTTTATCCCCCTCCGGTGTTTGCCATCGGGGTCGGGTTTTCGTCGCTTGGCAACCACGTTGTAAAACAAGCCCCCTCCCTCCCCCCCCGGTGTTTACCATCGGGGTTAGGTTTTGGTCGCTTGGCAACGACGTTGTAAAACAAGCCGCCACCATCGGAGTTTGCCATCGGGGTTGGGTTTTCGTCGCTTGGCACCCACGTTGTAAAACGAGCCAACTCACTTCGTGAACTCGGCAATCAGGTTACCGTTATTTGTTTTACCTCTCTTTTTTTTTTGGCGGTGACCATCATGATGGTCGAGTAGATCATGTTGTGCGGGATCGAGAAGCCTCACTCCGCGCAAGGGGGATGATCGCACCACGTTGTGTTACAATGGTCAAGCACCCTCGAGGCAGTTACACCTTGCTTACAACTGTCTCTGGAAGTGAAAGCACCAGAAAATATACGCAGCTGTCATCCGTACGCAAGGGAGTAAGCACAAGATGCCGAACACCCTTAGCAGGATGCAGCGCACCCTTCATGCTGCTCGCCGAATACCTCACGGCGCTTCGCGCTTGGTGATGTGAGAGCCATGTCCGGTGAGAACCCGGCGTGCTCCGTCCCGGCTTTGTAGGGATGCGAGGTCAATGGTCTAACGACTACGTCATTCACGACTATGAGTACACACTCACCCCCCCCCCTTTGTCATGGAACAACACAAGGGTTTGGAATTCGGTTCAAAGGGGGTGTAAATCTTGCGCAACCTCTTGTAAGGTTAGGCTCTCACCGATGAGGTTGTTGTCCCCGAGGCTGATTTCGTAGACGTATTCCGTTCCGTTCTCATCGGTCGCGACGGAAACTCCCTCCCACTCGCTAACATCCACGCCGGAAACGGTCCAGTTGGCGTTTTCGTGCCAGTTGCTCCCCCCCAGGCTGGTGTACAGGATGCCGAGGTACTCCCGATCTTCGACCACGACATCCGCTGCCAGGCACGTTCATACAAGATCCCATGTTTGTCCGGGGTCGGAGGCAAGACATATTTACTCAAAGGCACCAAGACGTCAAAAGAACGATTGCCAGGACGACAACGCCCCTCAGGTAGCACCTGTACTTTAAGAACTTGGTACCTCAGAACGTTTTGCTCATTTACATATAGACTAACATTGAGCATGTGTGCGCCCGGCAAAAACCCTCTACACCAAAACATCTACCGCGGCCATTTGAAGCCTACGAGAGTAGCTAAGAACGCCAGCCCTGACAAAAAATGGAGGTTCTCATGCGTTAGTGCGGGCGCCATCGGAAATTCAGCACTATGGATGTGTGGGTTGTGTAAGATTTTTTTTTTTTCTTTGTCTTCACTTCACATCAGCGCTCACGGCACTGGTGCCGTTTACTCCAACCCGTGGTCACACAGTAGAGCCCCTCTCTACCCTCCCCTCCTGCGGTACTTTGCCTTCGATTTTTTATGCGAGAAGAGTTCAGCACTCTCTTCCCTCTGTGTACGCACGAACTAGCGCTAACCACTAGGCCAGGAGCGGAAGCGAGAGAAAAACTCACTTTGCAAGAAAAGCTCGCTTACGCCAGGATTCGAACCCCTGACCTGACCTCTAGGAGGTTTCGAGGTTGCCAACAAGACCACCGGGGCGACCGGTTAGAATGGCCTGGGTGCAAAAATTGTGCGCTGCTGCTGGAGGTAGTCTTGCCGAGGAAACGACTTAGCAGCAGCAAGGCGAGTACGAGCGCAAAGCGGTTTATATGTTTATTACGGCGTGGTCTATCGAGCCCGGAGGCCCCTCACTGCTGGCACCATGACCAAAGGAACCCATCCCCCCGGCGCCTCCTGTTTGTTTGTCTCGACAGAAACAGCAGCAACACACGTTTCCATCAAAGCGAACGTTTACGTTTCCTACCCCAGCCCGGCTGACCAAGGGACGCAGAGGGGCCACACCACATCATTCCCCATCGCCCGAGTCCGCGCGAAAATAAATTGCCAACCAGGGAAGGCAAGGCTACAACCACGAGCTTTACGTCAACAATATGCATTCAGCAGTTAGCGCGCACGTTTAAGAATCGTGTATTTAGGGTCTAGGCTCAATATCGTGACCACTGCTGTCGAGCACAGGTCATCAATAGAGAGTTGAGTGTAGGACGTACAGCTGAGGTGTATTTATCACTCTTGTTTTTCGCCAAAATCTGAGCCTTGGTTTCTCAAATGTGTGTTTTCTCAAACATTTGATCGCGGGCGCGAACAAACTGTAGCAGCAGCCGGTCGAACCACAGTAGCGCCATGGAAAGCAACAAGAAGAGGCCGACGTCGCGAACACCCCGACTGCTGCTGCTCACCCTGGCTGCAGGCGACGGCGGCAAAAAAGATGCTCAGCAACCGAAGCAGCCTAGCGAAGGTCGACCCCCCGGGTGTCCCTCCGCTGTGCTTGGCCCCTGTTATTCTCCTCCTCCCCCGATCGATGTTGTTCCTCCTTCCGTCGCCGAACCCGCGGCCCTGTCGGTTGGTCGGTACACTCGCGCTGCTGGTGTCCCCCCTCGCCACCGGCCGCCGACCCATCTGCTACACTAGTCGGGCGCAAGCGGAACAATCGCAGGCAGCACTTGCAAAAGTCAATATACAAGAAAAAAAACGAATATTTGTATAGTCTACCGCAAAAGGAAAAGTCTTCAATATCCAATCAAAACGGTTTTGTCGGGAAGACTTTCTGCGTTGTTGCGGTCGCCGCAAGCCCACGTTCGACGTGGTCACACACGACCGCTACGCGAAACAACCCACCAGGCGTGAACATGCGGCGGCAATGCGAAAGAGGCATCAGCGCATTTCCCACGGGGCACTATTGCTGCTGCATCGTTGCGTACCCCCCACCCGCTCCTCTGATCATGGCATTGGTATGTATGTTCCAGCACAAGTGCAAACGATTTAGGGTCGAACTGACACGTTTTTACAGCCAACAAGACAGCTACAGTGTCGTGTGATGCATACACGATACACACGCCGCTCTGGGGGGGGGGGGG